GCAGCCCTTCTGGCCTGCCGGTACCTGTCAGCTGCTTCAGGAGACCCCTGGGCCAACCAGGTGTTGAAGATCTCCTTCTTCAGCTTGACGGCTTCCCTCACCTCCGGTGTCCACCACCGGGTTCTCGGGTTGCCGCCACGACAGGCACCGATGACCTTCCAGCCACAGCTCCTAGCGGCCGCGTCCACAATAGAGGCTTTGAACATGGTCCACTCGGATTCCGTGTCCCCAACCTCCCTCGGGATGTGTGAGAAGTTCTTCCGGAGGTGGGAGTTAAAGACCTCCCGGACAGGGTCCTCCGCCAGACGTTCCCAGTTCACCCTCACTACACGTTTGGGTTTGCCGGGTCTTTCCAACCGGTTCCCCTGCCATCTGATCCAACTCACCACCAGGTGGTGATCAGTTGACAGCTCTGCTCCTCTCTTCACCCGAGTGTCCAAGACATACGGCCGCAAATCAAATGATACGATTACAAAGTCGATCATTGATCTCCGGCCTAAGGTGTTCTGGTACCAGGTACACTTATGAGCCACCTTATGTTCGAACATAGTGTTCGTTATGGCCAAACCGTGGCAAGCACAGAAGTCCAATAACGAAACACCATTCGGGTTCAGATCGGGCAAGCCGTTCCTCCCAATCACCCCCCGCCAGGTTTCATCGCCCACGTGAGCGTTGAAGTCCCCCAGGAGAACTATGGAGTCGGTAGGCGGCGCCCTTTCCAGGACCCCTCCCACCGACTCCAAGAAGGCCGGATACTCTGAACTGCTGTTTGGTGCATAAGCACAAACCACAGTCAGAGCCTTGCTCCCCGCAACCCGTAGGCGCATGGAGGCGACCCTCTCGTTCTCCGGGGAGAACTCCAACACAGCGGCGCTCAGCCGGGGGCTCGTGAGTATCCCCACTCCCGCCCGGCGCCTCTCACCCTGGGCAACTCCGGAAAAGGACAAAGTCCAACCCCTCTCCAGGAGCTTGGTTCCAGAGCCAACGCTGTGTGTGGAGGTGAGTCCAACTATTTCTAGCTGGTATCGCTCCACCTCCTGCACCAGTTCCGGCTCTTTCCCCGCTAGCGAGGTGGCGTTCCACGTCCCTAGAGCTAGTCTATGCCGCCGGCGATCGGCATGCCCGGGCCTCCCGCCAGACCCGCCGCCCGGTCTGCATAGCACCCGACCCCGATGCTTGTCCCTGCGGGTGGTTGGTCCACAGGGTGGCTGCTCCATGGTGTTTATTCGGGCTGGGCCTGACCGGGCCCCATGGGCAAAGGCCCGGCCACCAGACGCTCGCCTACGAGCTCCCCTCCTGGGTCTGGCTCCGGGAGGGTGCCCCGGTTTCCCTGGTCCGGGCGAGGTGGCTGTAGTCCGTGGGCTAACTATCATAGGGGTTGTTTTGAACCGCTCTTAGTCTGGGCTCTCCCCTGAAACCTGTTTGCCTTGGGAGACCCTACCAGGGGCTAATGCCCCGGACAACATAGCTCCCAGGATCACTGAGCCACTCAAACTCCTCCACCACGATAAGTTGGCGATTCACAGAGGAGCTTTTAGAGGACCCCCCCATTTTTAAATAAAAGCCGCACACACATGATTTAGAGATATACGTGATGCAGCTCAGCCAATCAAATATGGGTATTCTGATAAGTTTCCTGATTCGAGTGACATTTACACACACCGCGACACAAGAGGGAGAGACGAGGACAGACATGGCAGAGCAGGACAATAGTCATGTAAGCTGTAAATGATAAAACATAGGACAATCTCCAAATGAGAAAGATTGCCAGAGAGATCAGAGTCTCTCTCTCTCTCTCCACTGTCCAAATCACATCTCTTAAAGAGATAATTACCGTTAATGTCACTATAGTCATCACATCCGGTTATCTGTCTAATGCAAGTAACAGAAACCTGGAAAACATCTTCAAATCTGTGTGTGTGTACAGTTTATTAGTTGGTGAATAAATACTACAACTCCTTAAAACCCAAGCCAAGCTCCTTTGTGTAATACACTAAACCAGGGGTCGCCAATTGGCGGACCGCGTTCCGGATCCGGACCCAGACGCCGTTGTATCAGGACCCAGGACCTAAAATTGATTTTATTTTGACGGAGCGATTCTATTTTAACCGGCGCAGCTTTTTTTGCCTTTACGGCACTTGTTGAGCGGTGCAGGAAACGCACCGACCAATGCGTTGTAAATCACATCACATGATGCAGCTCAGCCAATCAAATGTGGGTATTCTGACAAGTTTCCCGACTCGAGTGATATGTACACCGGAGGAGAGACGAGGATAGAGAAGGAAGAGCAGGAGAATAATACGTGAGTCAGAGAACTTCACATGACGTTCTCCAAAAAGAGAAAAGTGGTCAAAGAGACCAGAGTCTTTAACCAAGAATGAACAGACTCTTATAGGTTCATTATTCACACGGACAGTTTATAACCAGTGTGTCTCATATGTTCAGAGACCGTGACGATTATTAAAAGCGGTAAATGAAGCGACACTACAAGACAAAGCACAACTCTTTTGAACAAACGTACCCACTCACATCTGAAATTAATTCACAGAAAATAAACCTGAGTCCAAAATGATCAGAATCCTAACGCATTAATTCACTGCCCAACAATGATGTTAACAGAGAGAATAGAGCTGAAACAAGTGGTTTAATAACCACAGATAAAGTCCATGCACAAACATGTCTCTTGTTAGAAGATGAGAAAAATATAATATTGTGGCTTTTTTGATTGACATCACTTCACCCTGAATGAACTGAATTTAAAGCTGCAGGACAATTCAGTGAAATAAATTTTTCTGAAATGAATTACTTTATTTTAAGATGCACATTTTTGAAAAGCTTTCTGTTATGTCAGTTATTCTTTAATCCAGCCCTTATTGTACTTGAAATGAGAAGAACATTTATTTATGTATTTCTATGTATTATTTATAATCCATCCAGTTAAATTTGAAAACTGAGAATAATAATTGTTAAAATATAATTGATGTGTACTTTCTTTATTTGATTTGACAGTTGTTGACTACACAGAGACATTACTACTAGGCTTCTTGAATATATATATATATATATATGGCACTAAATAGCGCAAGTTAGATATTATTGTAATGTTCCGGACCTTTGCCGCACTTGACTGTGATCTGCACATTAATAAAGCTCATATTCTGACACAATGTACCAGCATTGGTTCTTCTTCGTTGTTGATGCTCTTTACTTTCCGGGCCACAAAATTTGCTGCAAATGTTAGCCTCTAGGAAAGGCTTTACGATTGGCAATAAAAACAGATTCCTCACTGATTTGAAGCAGGTGTCACTCGGTTTCATTACCAGTACGAAGATGGTGTCATTAGTTGTACTTTGACCATGAAAATGTTCAGTGGCCTTATTCATATCAATTCTATTCTTCTAAAACAAACTTTACTCTACACTTTCAGACGGTAATATTGTTTTTCACTCCACTACATTAATCTGACAGCTATAGTTACAATAAAATGGATAGATCAAGAAAATAAGTAGCGGATTAATATGAAAAAATAAATTTGATGTGAAATAGTCAAAAAATGTGCTCCACCTCAACTAACTACAGTAAAATGCTGCTTAAACATGAGCAATGATAATAATCTAGTAATATGTTTTATACTAGTATATATAGTATAGTATCATTAGATACTATGCACTCACAGAAGCCATTTCTCTGCATTGAGTACTTTTGATGGAATCCTGGAATTTTTTTATGTACTTTTACTTTAAAACTTTTTTTCAAAGCTGTAATGGACTTTTTTGCTCGTATGGTATTGGTACTTTTAGTCAGAGACGGACTGGGAATGAACGACGGGTCCACCAAGAACCCTAAAATAAACTACTGGATGAATTGCTGTGTTTTCCTTAAAATGTTGATTAAAAAACAATCTGAGCAGCGTTACTACGAAATGTTGATGCAAATAAGTTGCAGATGAGTCATTTTTAGGAGGTTGAGTAACACAAACATACTGTAGTGTGTTATTCTGTCAGTGTGTGTGTGTGTGTGTTTCCCAGAGTTTGTGTATGTGTGTCCAACTAGAACAGTCACATGTTTCTAATTGCTACCAGGAGGTTTCCCCCAAATGACACTGTTCCCACACAGGTCACACAGTTTTACTGCAGATCTCTGATCCACCCGAATGCCATTACCTAAAATAAATGAAATAATTTCAACGAGAATCCAGATGTACCTCTTTAGCTGTTATTTTTGCGAATGCCTACTTAATATGTTTCCACTTGTCTTCAGTCCCACATTCCTTGGCTGCTCTCCTGTCCCAGGGGATAATAGAATGAGAGCTGAGGGATATTTCAAAGAAGCATCAGGGTTTGTCAATTTATAGCAGCAAAGTTTGCAGTTGTTTTTTTACATATTAAATGCAAAAATCATTGGAATGGGTTTGCCATTATTCTGTTAATGTTAATGGGACGAATATACAATAAATAACCCAGCAAAGTAAGAAGAAAAGAGAAAATATAGGCTGAGGGTCTCTGCAGATACAGGCACCGCCACACACTTTTATTTTTGTATTCAACTTTTATTTAGCCAAGATAATCCCACTGAGCATTTAAATCTCATTTACAATGGGGTAAGTTTCAAGGCAACGTAGCCTCAAGCTGTTTGGTTTTCACTGAAACACAGTTGAATACATGAGCAGCACTGGGCCGAGAATCTTCTTCCCACAAAGAAAGAATGAACTATTTGGTTCTTGTCCTTGTGGGTGTAACCATTGCTAACTGATTACTCATGTTTCTGTGAGTTTACACACGGGTAAGTTACAGGGACATTTTCCATCTTTCAAAGTATCGTGTGTCAGTCCAAGGACATTCATGTCCTTAATCTGTGCTTTGGTGAAAGGAGGAGTTCAAACTGAACAGATCCTTGTACACTCCCCCCATCAGAATGCCGGCATGTGGGAGGGATCAGCAGGCAGAACAAGACGGAACCCTGAACCGTCCCCCAGTTCCCCCATTTACAGCTCTCACGCTCTCTGTACTGTTGACCGGAAACAACAGTCAGCCTGAGCAGCTTAAACCAAGAGCACATCTTACCTACAGCTACTTCTCCTGGGTTCAGGTAGCTCTCACAAGATCAAGCATTGATAGAGAAAGGATTTTGGGTTGTGGTAACATGGCATCTCTCAAAACGGTGCTTTATCTGGGAGTCTGGCTGTCTGCTTGGATCATCACTACTGCAGGTAAAAGCACATGATAGATAGATAGATAAGCGTGCATGTTTTGTGCATGTAGGGTATCATGTTTTCTCCACTGGAAGGACACTCTATAGGGCACTTCATCACATTTTCTCCACTGGATCTTATCTCTGGAAGGCACGTCCTGACTTTTTCTCCACTGGAAGGGTACACTTAGAGGGCACTTTATTTATTTTTCTCCACTGGAAGGGCACCCTCAGGGGAACGTCACCATGTTTTCCACGAGATGGGCACCCTACAGGTCACTTCATCATGTTTTTTCCACCAGATGGGCACCCTACAGGGCATGTCATTATGTTTTCTCCACTGGAAGGCCACCCTAAAGGGCACAGCATCATGTTTTCTCTATTTCTATTCTGCCCATTTGTGTTTGGCTTTGTGTGATGATCAGACTTTAGTCTCTGGTGTCATGGTCACCTTAATGTCCCGCCACCACATATACGCTGTTTAGCTCATCAAATATGCTGATATTCTGTGTTCCAATATGATGCAACTTATTTCACAGCTGAGGTCCACTGTGTCAGATAGATATTGGACAGAGAGGAATTCTACATCTTGGAAAGATACCAATAATTTGTTATGTTAAGTTAGGTATTATACATTTGTTTGTTCGGCCTAAATATATAATGCATTAAATATTCCAGGTATACAAGCTGTAGATAAAATACATGTTCGACATTTATTTGTATTGGAAATGTCACTAATATTCATTTAGTAAGTCTGGCCAATTATTTAAAGCGAGAATCTTCATGAGCTTAATGGAACAAGAACTTTGCACAGTTGTAACATTCTTCACTTGTTCTGTAATCAGTTAATGTTCCATCAGGGTATTTACCTAATCATGACGCAGCATTTTTTTTAAAGACGTGTGGAAATGGGTTAGAAGCAAGGAATGAACCAAACAAAATGTTCCACAACATTTGGACGTTTTAAGAAAAGAACGCAATGAGAACAAGATGGAATGTTACAAGAATGTGCTGGACACCAGGCATCTCAAACTGTATTAGGTTGTTACTAACAGTCTCACTTCTGGCTCACGTTCAGCTCTGCCAACTGGCAAGGTCTGACTGTAATTATGGTCTGCTTATGAGAAAGAGGAGGATAGGGAGGTGGATGTCAAAGTTTACAGATCTATCAAAGTGGACATATAAGTATTCGTTGTGATACTACACTACACTAACATAACTAAAACAGGAAGGGAGATCATGGGTGACCAGAAAACGAATGTTGTTACATTTTTTTTTCATAGATGAGAACTTTGTGCCTAAAGCGGAGAATGTACGTTGGGTGTCTCTGGACTTTAAAACCATCCTCGTCTGGACTACTAACGCTTCTGATTACAAATACACTGTCTCGTACCATAGGTGAGTCCACACACACACACACAGCCGTGTTTTCATGACTTTTGGGGACATTGCATTGACGACATCATTTAAATCATTGTTCTTCTGTTTTGTCATGTGACTATCAGTGAGGAGCCTGAATGGAGTCAGAGTCCCGACTGCATCCGAATGTCACATTCAGAATGTGATCTGACCGACCACCTCCGACCTTTGGACAGGTAGGACCTCTGTCCTTTCAAGTCTTTTCAAGTTCTGTAATGTTTCAATTGGGCCTATGTATCTGGTAGGTTCAGTAACTTATAGCACTTTACATTCATTTGTAATTTCTAACGCCAATCAAATTTTATGATCTTCCGACAGAGACTTGTATGTCTGTTTTTTTTCTGGTGACCTCATCCATCTTTATCTGATCTATCATAAATTATGAGTAGCCACATGTGTACAATTTTATGTCTATGAAGTATATTTGAAGTTCTATTATCTGTTCTAGTTTCAGTATGCTGACTTTAATATTATTGTACTTCTCACATTTCATTTTAAGAATTTCCTGTCCTCTCTTTTAGATGAATCTCAGGGTTGACCGTCTTGCTTGAGACTTTTGAGCTTTGGCCTCTCTTCTCTGCAAAATCCATCCATGCATGTTGAATGTATATTACTTATCTTCCACCCATATTTATGTATTCCTGTTTGACAGGACCTACACTGTCCAGATCAAAACCGAGCCTGTGACCGTGGACTATGACTATGACCTGGAGGACTTCCCTCACAGTCCTTGCCCTCCCTTCAACCCCTATAGAGAGAGTAGGTATAGCATGCACACGCAAAACAAATCCACACATAACACACATCAGAGTTGTCAATGAGCAGCCTGGTCCCCTAAAAATAACGTGCAACCAATACAACGAAACTGCATCGTCACTTACGTTTCGAGGGAAACATATTTCCTCTCAGATTGTGTTTGTTTATGACGTATCACAAATATGTTTCTAATGAGTCCACATAAGGAGGACTCATTGATCACATTTGGGACATGCTTCTTTCATGGAATATGTCAGACCTGGTTATTCATCTCGCTGTATACGTGGTTCTAATAGTAGTCAGGTTTCTGATCAAATGTGTGCATGTGGGTCTTAAATCATGAAAATCTTAGTCACTACGTTCAGTACCAACAGTGGATAAGGTGTATCCCTGTATTTTTTATCAGAGTACTCCAGGTCCAGCTTTCTGAAAACCAGGATAAAGTGTGTACATTCACAACACATTACCCTGATAAACCTGAGGATACTAGCTCGCATTTAAACACATTCAGTGTCGTGAAATAAAATGTCAGTTCTCTTTGTTATCTGGCAAGTGTGACTTGTTTTTACATTGTTTGAATTACAGCAATGTTTTATTACGCTAAAGGAGACGAAGGCTGGAAGATAGAGCTAGTATTACCTCACATCCTTCAGCTTTATGAATTAGACCCTGTGAACCCGCCTGAATAAGCCTGAGCCTCATCCTTACTGGTGATTCATCCTCTCCTCAGCGAACATCAGCGCAGTGAATTTCACCGTGGAAGTCGTGGATGAGAGCAGAGTAATGGTCAACATCACAGATCCTCTGAGCGGTGTTCATGAGCTTGGGAAGCAGCTCAGCCTCAGAGACGTTTTCAAGAAAGACCTCAAGTATAAGATCAGCTACTACAAGTCTGGAAGCACAGGCAAGGTACAGTATTCAGGTGCCACCAACATGAAGCTCAGTCATACAAACAAAGTCTCACCAGAGTATTGAAAACTAACAAACAGTTGAATAGTGAAAATACCGACTAGGATGATCATAGAGTAAATGGAATTTTTCCAAAGCCCTTCAAAAATGTTTCAGCGTTAACTGAAACGCTGCCTTCTTGCCTGCCTACGTTGCCTTCTTTGAAAAGGTGAGTTAAGGTTAATCTGTATAAAGATCGAGCTCGCCTGTGAGAGACAGAGACTCGTGGAGGCTGCTCCATTGTGAACCCAAACATAAAATACAGATGATAATATAGATAAGTGTAACGGTTCATACTGGAATGGAGCCGCTTTAGAAGCTGATTGGATATTATAAAAAATACTTACTGCATGTTGAAATATGTCAAAAACATTAAGGTCCACGACAGAGATGATGAGATTTTAGATTTGAAATATATATATATAAATGTGTTTATCTATTCAAGAATTTATGAATGTCTAAATGTTAACGGTGAGTTGGATAGATGTTGAAGTGATTGACGGTAATATTTCCTTCTTACCTGGTAGAGAGACATCATATCTAACTCCAGTACAGCAGAGGTGTCAAAGCTGAATGCGGGACAGAGTTACTGCTTCATGGTTGCAGCTTTCATCCCCTCCAGACCCAAAAGCTCCCAGCAAGGAGCCTGGAGCATCCAGTGGTGCACACCCGGAGACGGTAACGTCCTGCAAGTTGCGCACACTCTGTATGCACTACACTACCACTCAGGTCTCGCTCCCAGCTCGTCAAATACAGACGGTTGGTCAGTGCTCCTCTGAGTTTGATATCGACACACGAGGCACCATTTGGCGTTTGTATGAGATGCACCAGGGTTTTCAACTGACTCCAATGTAAACCCATCTGCATCGCTGTTAGACTGTCAGAGCCAGTGACGCGGTATAAAGAGCTAGATGGTCCACACAGGCTGGTGGATAGGTCAAACACAGGACTTTCATCCAGGAGGCCGCTGTTTGTGTCCTGTGCTTAACTGAAATTGAATGTTGACATTTTGTCATATCAGTCTTGACTCAAGTGATTCACCAGTCACATGACACGTTTGACACTCGTTAGCCAGTCAATTTAACGTCAACCTAAACCAAACTAAGTGGTTTTATTGCCTAAACCTAACGCCCTGTGAAGACGGAAGTTTATTTTGAAAAGATACGATGTACACAAGCATGAAACGCCATCCCTGACGTGTTCCAAGCTGAGGCCAGAGGAGTACGTAGTAGTATCATAGTTTGAAGCTTAGGGGCTAAGTTTGAAGTGAGAATGTGTTGCACAACTCGTCAAACAAACACAGCCCTTTCACCCAGGAGACCACTGTTGGTGTCCCGTGTGAAACCAAAAGTCAACATTTACTTATTTCACAAAGATTTTCTTACATTACTTCCCGACTATCATAGCGTCGTTATTTTATGTAACAAGTGCACTTATTTTAACCCCAAACCACCGGAAACCTAACCAAGTACTTTTGTTGCTTAAGTAAATCTAAAATCGAATTAAACCTACGTGGGAAGTTTGTTTTGAAAATACACTATGGATGTAACTAGTGGAAACCAACACAACCTCACTGACACGTCCAGGAATGATGCTAGATGCTCAGGGCCACTGACCAAGTGTCAGTATTTGAGTTGGGAGTGAGAATGTGTTGCAACCAAACAGGGTACAGACATAAATATGAATCAGCATCACATTAAGGCAGGAGCCTCAGTCCTCATGTGATGGGCAAAGACTCGCATGGACACAAGCATTAGGTTCAGTTTCAGGAAGAATAAACATTTTGGGCTTTATTTGGGGGGGGGGGGGGTTGTCATGAGTCATGAGTCCTGCTTGTGGTTTTTATGGATAAGACATTTTTTTGTCTACGTGCTTGGAGATCGTTCCGGTTGACGTACTTTGTGGTCAAGTCTCTGAGTCACCCTAAACACATTGAATCCCTCAAGCCTGACAAACAGGAATTTCCATTCATAAAACATCTGCTAAGCAGATATTTTTGTGTTTTGAAAATAGGTGGGATTCCACCCATTTGTTTTATGTGAATCACAAAAGGAAAAACACTGTCATATTTTTCTTCAAAAAAGCTTAAATATCAAAGAAATGTTCCTTAAATGTTTTCTGTATGTGATTAGATTGGCATGGAAACATCATGTCAGATGATCCAAACACATTGAACCATTAATTTATAGAGCTACAATACTAAAAAACTATAATCTACATTTAAAAGTGCAATGTTTAAGATGTGGTCCGAATTTTTGTTTAAAATATTAAAAGAAGACGTCGTTTTATTGTTTCAGAGAAATCTAGTGAAATCAGCATGCTAACTAGATCGCCCCGGCCCGTCCTGTCTTGTAGTACCACTTGTACCTCGAGAGGCGATAGTGAGTCACTGTAGCGTCCAGTCTGTGTTCAGTCCAAAACGAGAGGACCAAGAAGTAGAGCTGCCTTGAGGGCTTGTCAATCACGTTGAAGCAAAAGGGTCAGTGTTGTTTGTTTATTGGATTCAATCCAAAGTGTCTGAAATGCAAAAAACATCTGGCACCCTCGCCTCTTCCTCCCGTCCATAAGGAAACTACTACGCTGGGAGGAGAGCGGGCTAGGCTTAGAGAGACGGATGGAGCTTCAGTAGCAGTTAGCAGTTAGCTCGAATTCAGTCACTCTGGATTTAGTTCAAAACGTACACTGCTGTTAGTTAGCAGTTGGCTTTTTAAGATTTGTTTACACCCAGTAGTAGAGGTGAAATGCTGCCCCCTAGTTGTTCGGAGCATGCGGCCAGTTCTTACACATTGCACCTTTAAAGTGACAGATCCATCGGTCTAACTGTGACTCTCGTTGTCCCACCAGAGCTGAGTCTGGCAGCGTGGGTCGGTGCAGTCTTCATCCTGCTCACAGTCCTCGTCATCATCGTTACGGTGACCGTCCTCTGCTGCAAATGCTGCCGTCAAAAAAACACGTCTCAGTCATCGGCACCTGTTTAGTGCGTGTGTGTGTGTGTGTGTGTCTTACAAACACAGGGAGCTGGTCTCTCTCCTCTCTGTTTCTAAAAAAAACACGGTTCTACATCGCTATGCTCTTTGATTACGGTGAATTGTCGTCATTATTTTTCTATTTCATATTTTGATTTACATTAAGATGAACATGTTCAGCTTGCTATGACAGTGTAAGGCACACTGCATTATGAGCAAACAAATGTGAACAACTGTGCATTTCTTGTATTCATCCCATGTGTGTGAACGACCTATGTGGACTAATGATCATCAGTACATCAAGAATCAAGTACAGCTTCATTTTAGTTGATCAAATGCCACAGCAACAGTTCCAACTGGAAGAATGATCTAATTAAGATAATTTCGAATGTGATTTGTGTACCTGTTACATTGTATGACTAAATGTATAACATTCCCTCAACTTCCAAATCTTACCTTATCTTCTTTTAACCCGTCATGTCAATCCAGGTGACTGTTTCTACTCAACATATTTTTCACAATTTATTCTTTCATTAAAATGTCCCTTAAAAGTTCTGTCAGGAACAAAAAGAATGAACCACCAGTGGCAGCTGCTCAATAGAGGGCGCTAGGTCACCGCCCCCCCTTAAGCCACAAAAAAAACAATAATAATAAAAATAAATTATACAAATTGCTGCACGGTGGTGTAGTGGCTAGCACTATCACCTCACAGCAAGAGGGGCCCGGGTTCGATCCCCGATCCCGGGTGGTCCTTCTGTGTGGAGTTTGCATGTTCTCCCCGTTGCAGCGTGGGTTCCCCCCGGGTTCTCTGGCTTCCTCCCACAGTCCAAAGACATGCAGCTCAGGTTATTTGGAGACTCGAAATTGCCCGTAGGTGTGAATGTGAGTGTGAATGTTTGTCTGTCTCTGTATGTGCCCTGTGATGAACTGGCGACCTGTCCAGGGTGTATCCTGCCTTCGCCCAATGTCAGCTGGGATCGGCTCCAGCGCCCCGCGACCCTGAACAGGATAAGCGGTTTGGATAATGAATGAATGAATATACAAATTGTCAATATTTGTGTTTTTGAAATATAGAATGTACCCAGTAATATGTGTAAAATATGATATCTGCGCAAAATATATGCTTTTCCTCGTCCTCTCTGCCTGTCTGCACGTCTCAGCTGCTCTGGGGCGCTGGAGAAAGCGCCCACAGGAGGCGGGTCTATGAAGCAGTTTAGCCAATTGCTGATTAAAGATATAAATGTGTGACATACAATTTAGCCAATCAGCGTCCTCAAATACATTCAGCTTGGGGCAGAATCTGTATCGCCCCAAACTGCGCGTCTCCGTCTCTACAAGCGAGTGCGAGCACTACTCCTCCAAAACCCATTTGAGAGGAGAACTTTGGAGGAGAAACTGCACTGACCTCCAGTGGCGGCTGGTGGAAAATCTTCTAGGTAGGGCCATCCAATGAATTTCAGCAAACATCCCAGTATGATTTAATGCAAAAACATTAATGTATCAAACACGCATTACTACTTTGCGGTTAAATATTTAACATTTATTCCAACACGAAAAAAAGCAGTAAATAACACTTTGACAAACACGTCAGGACATCTTATTAATGTCACCCTCACAGGGAATTCAGTATAATATAATAATATATATACCAGTGGTGGGCCATCAGGGCCAGCTAAGCCTTCTCTGCTGGCCTAAACAGAATCACAAAGTTATAGCTATTTTATAATTTAATAATTTTTCACAAATACACTAGCCTACATGTATTGTAATTTTTTTTCCCATTAGCTTATTTTCTCATTGCACAGCTCCTGTCTTCCTCTGTTGCTCTGTTTCCAGCATAGCTTGTTTTAAGGAGAGCTTTTATCCAATCAGATTCAGCCTCTATGTCTCTATGTAAGGAGAGAGGCCCGAGGTCCTCTAGGTAGACTTTGCAGTTTAAGTGAATGGGGACAATATTGTTGATTGTCATCGTCTTCAACCAATCAGATCTTTAGTTTAAGATGTTGGGCATATTCTTTGACGTGCTGATGCTACCCAGGTAGCCTGATAAGTACGTCTGCATTAACGTGCGCCGTGATTGGTCAGTGGGCCAGCGCGTGACTAATGTGAAATTTAAGGAAGCTGGCATAAGTTAGTCGGAGTACTAAGAGTTCAAATTGAAAGATATGGAAGAAATTATAACATTTTTAGGGTTTTGCTTGGTGTAGTTTATTTACTTTTATGAACGGTGTTCCTGGCTGACAGCGTCGCACATTTTATGGCTGGGAATGTGTTTCATTTTAACTGAGCATCTTGGTGTTTGGAGCTACGCTACGCTAACCTGAGGACGCCGTAGCACGGCAGGACACTACGGTGCTTTTGACAACTTTTGGAGAAACCCGAGCGGGGGCCGGTGGTTGGCGGTCACGACCGGTCGCGGTCGATTCATCCATGAATCGAGAAGGACTTCTCACTGGAACTGAAACGATGTACTGGGATTAAACTCTTTGTCAACAAAGAAAGGAGGATGGACTTTGTCTTTAATTAAGTGAACAGCATTCGGTAAGTGACAAACTGCGTTTGTTTTTTTACATCTGCAGTAACGTTAATATTTGAATGGCTCGTGCTCTTGTGTGGTGGAATGTGTGGATCCGCTGCAGGTCTGCTGGATTGATGTGTCATGCTTTGTTGTCATATAAATATATGTGACTGGTTCTTATGACTTTGTTGTTGTCATTGTTAAGTTGACTATGCATTGTCCGTTAATGACGCAGCGTCCCGTCATGCACGGATTCATGTATCTGCACCATAGCTGTTCAACTAGGACAGCACAGAAGGCCCAGGTATAAAATGCACGGCCTGCCACTGATATATACAGTATATATATATATATAGATATATCATATAATAATATTCAGTATAATATAAAACACACACATACATATATATATATATATATATATATATATATATATTATATCGCGATGAATCGCATTGTTATGGCAAAGTTCAATAATGAATTCAAAAGTAGTGTATTGCGCACTTTTATTTTAAAAGTACTGCTATATGAACAAAAGGGCAATAACATTTGGTTCACGAGATGCAGGTAGCATGTTTTATACTTAATTTGAATATAATTCATACTTTGTTGGCATCTTATTCTGAAAACCGGATGTTCGTCTGAAGAAACCGGATGTTGTCTCACTTAATCTTTCCGCTAACTTTCAAAGTCCTTAGCTCGCTCCCGATCTGTGCCGTTTAAATGCGTTTACGGTGAATGTCAGCATATAGGTGCACTAACATGTAAGTGTCTGCTGAGTTGACCACGGAGATCTGAGTGTCTGCTGACTTTACCGCAGCGATGTCCAGTAGTCTCCAGGGAGAGCAACAGCTGGTGAAGCTTCTCTCTTTATTTCTGCCCTCGACCAGAAGCGGAAGTCGCCTTTTCTCTACGGCAACCCTGAAGGGACATCATATCTCTAATACAAAACGATAAACATGAGACAGTCCGTTACAATAATAATAAATTAAAAATACTTACCTGTTTTTTTTTTTTGTTTTTTAATTATTATTATTGACTGACTATAGGATGTTTGCTGGCTTTTATCCCACTGTTCTTGTCATCCTCTTGTTGTTATGTCTATGTATTGTCTCTTGTCTTTCAATAAAAAAAAAAAATTATAATAAATTTTAAAATGCGTTAACCCGCGATAAAATAATTGTCGGCATTAATTAATGAATGCGTTAACGCGAAATTAACGCGTTAACTTGCCCAGCACTAATATATATATAATATAATATAATATAATATAACATGTTTATTTATTGAGATGCCCCTATGGACCTTGTTATAGGAGGTAAAGATCAGGAGAACTAAACATGAAGTGTAATTATGAATACTGATGTTAAATTAAGCTATGATGAGTTTTCAATGTTGATTTAAACAGAGAGGCTGAAGAGCCGCATGCGGCTCCGGGGCCGCAGGTTGCCGACCCCTGGGCTCGCTGGATGCAGTCATGCTAATAACAAACATATTTAGCTTTGTAAAACAACGGGGACAGATCCAGCACGGACAGTTAGGGAGTGAGGGATGAGGACGTAAGGAAACATGAGAACACCAGGGCACACATGGAGAACTCTGTCAAGCTACATGTTAGGCAAAGTAAACATCTTTTCTTCTACATAGTTGTCCTCAGTCTCATCTGCTTAACTTGGTCATGGAGGCATCAACATTTAATAGAGATGGTAAATTAACAGTGAAAACTCATCATAGCTTAATTTAACGTCAGTATTCATAATTACACTTCATGTTTACTTCTCCTGATCTTTACCTCCTATAACAAGGTCCATAGGGGCATCTCAATAAATAAACATGTTATATTATATTATATTATATATATATATGATATATATTATTATATTATATTGCTTGTGAGGGTGACAAAAATAAGATGTCCTGACGTGTTTATCAAAGTGTTATTTACTGCTTTTTTTCGTGTTGGAATAAATGTTAAATATTTAACTGCAAAGTAGTAATGCGTGTTGAATACCTTCATGTGTTTGCATTAAATCATTGTGGGATGTTTGCTGAAATTGATTGGATGTGGCACAGCCCTCACCAGCCAGCACTGTTAACCACTAAAAAAAACAGTAAATGAATCTCTTTAGAGGCACCTAGTGGCTCCCCCTCGCAACTACAACCACATCAGCAAACTCATTTCTTCAAATCCATATTTCTCTATTATTTTAGCCTTATTGAGAGTTATTATTCTTTATTGTTTTGTGTCATAAGTGTGGAAAAGTAATAAAACAATAAAAATGAAAAGTTTCTCCAGATTTCATCATGCTTTATTCTTTGTATGGAGACGAACCATTATGTTTCTGAACATCTGCCGACCGGTCCGATCTGTATCTGACTAAAACAGTGCATGAGAGGTGTCACCACCAACTCTCCAGTTCCTCTCCGCTGTACAGAACAATTTATCCAGTGTGGCAAAGACATGGAGTATCAGGGGATTTGATTTCTAGAAAGAGACATTGGTGTTGAGTTTTTCAAATGTATTTTTTGGCACTTTGAGCACTGCAAGCCAAGTGCCATCTTGTCCCATTGTATTGGAGAGAGGGAAGACATTTCTACAGCTGACACCTCCAACACCAGGCAACTCACAGCAGAACAATGTAAATGGATAAATAACGATTATTCATCGTTCAAGAGGTTTTTAATGCAGAGGCAGAGGAAAGCCAAGCAGTAAAGGTTAGGCATTGACCTCGAATGGTTAACCATTCGAGGTCCTTGCCTAACCTTAAAACCTCTTAAGCTCGGGCCCTATTTGTAGGCCTCTGCTCGAAAATAGCATACCCATACAAAAGTGACCACAGTTCTGTAACTACAAGGTCTATTTTAATAATTTTTGATGCTATAATCAGATCACAACACTTGTGAGATTGTTCAGTGGGTAATATTGTGTATATGTTGCTGGTTAATATAGTAAATGAAGACATTACACAGCTCAAATTGAAAATAATCAGGTTCGCCTGATAAAAAGCACTTTTATTGATATAAGGTTGTTGAAATAATGCAGATATCTCCCTAAAAAGTCTCCCAAATCATAGCACAACCGATCAGTAGTTGCTGAAT